TATATATATATATATGCGCTACCTAATTTTCCGAAAATAAATAACATCACAATAATTGGGAAAACGTGATATTGACTGTTGTGTTTGTCCACAAAATCAAGGATAAATAGTCTGTGGAGATAGACGAGCTGTAGTACTACTAGAAACTTTTGTTTCCACAGAAGAGAAGTGCAAGTCCGTTTATTTTTCTATTTGTCGTTTTAACTCGATCAAATAATGAAGATCATTGTGAAGAAGAGGACGATCGTGAAACCGGCGGAGGAGACGCCGAGGCGGTCGATTTGGAACTCGAACTTGGACTTGGTGGTGTCCAACATGCACACCCCAAGCGTCTACTTCTACAGACCTGCCGGTTCAAACTCCGACCACTTCTTCAACGCCGAGGTTCTCAAGGAAGCCCTGGCGAGGGTCCTCGTCACCTTCTACCCCGTCGCGGGCCGCCTCAGCCGTGACGCCTCCGGCAGGATTGAGATCGACTGCAACGCCGAGGGCGTCCTCTTCGTCGAGGCCGAGACGTCCTCCGTCATCGATGATTTCGGAGACTTTGCGCCTACGCCGCAGCTCAAGGCCCTCATTCCCGCCGTCGACCTCTCCGGCGGCATTTCTTCCTATCCACTCGCCGTCTTTCAGGTAATATTAAGGTTAGGGATAATGTTGTTAGGGGCACTAACGAGCTTTTACTTTTTCCTCTCTTTTTTGGTGCAAAAATATCAATATTCAATAGTATGCAATTGTGAGAGTCTTTTGGTCTACTTTTTTCTTTCTTCTTAGGGCTATGGTAACATTTTTGTGCGATACAACTTTTTAAATTGTGCCCTAGTACTATTCACCGCGTGAAATGCTAGTCTTTTTTTTATTATCCTAGCTGGGTGAAATGTACCGACCTGCCAATAGTGACATCAATGTTTGTGTTGAAAACTATCATTAACTTCTTACTCTGTCGAGGGTGGAATTAGGTAAATTATTCAAAAAAAAAGTAAGAAAATTACTGTCTTTTGTGATAACTATTGTGGTTCAAAACTGTTACGTAACGCATGTATATTTTACATATTTAAATTTTTAATTTGAGTTAAAATGTGATTTTATATAAAATTTTATTATTATAATAAAAAAAATAAATGTAATTTTTTATAAGAATTTTTAATTATAATAAAATTAAAATTAAAAATTTAAATAAGTGAAATGTATGAGGTTTAAATATATATGTTGTGTAAAATGTAAATCCTCTGTCATGTCCAATAGTCAGAAAGTCGTAACTGGTTGGCATGCATTGCTATTTTGTTCTAAATGCACATTAATGTTTGTTTTTGGTAAATGAATGTATATTGGTGTTTGGGAAAGTAAAGGCTGACTCTTAGATCATATTTGCACATGATCTTTGACTTCGAATTAGAGCCGGTATTTACATTTCGGGATGTGGAGGAATGCTAGCCACGTTTTTTTTAATTATTTTAACTTTATAATTTAAATTTTATTATAATAAAAAATTTTAAAAAATAATCATATAATTTTCACATAAAATTACATATTAATTTAAATTAAAATTTTAAAATAACGAAGTAAATGAGACTTAAAATAACAGGCAATTCACATAAAAAAAGGTGGCACTCTTAAACTATGCCACGTTGCAATTCTAGGTTCAACAGATTTTCTTTAATCAACAGTCATATCTACTCTAAATAACGAAATTGCCACAGCTAATTATGTAGACGGAATTGGGTTTGTGTTTAATGTATATAATGATATTCGTACATGGACGATGGTTGTAGTAAAGCACGTTCTTCTCGTGCTTTGCATATTTTTTCATTTTGCTTTTGATATGATTTTATTTAGCTTTATCATTCAAAATACACTATTGATAATAATTTTTCCAGATCTTCTTTTTCTTGAATTAAATAAAAATAAGATGATATTACAAAATTTGTCGCTCTGTTAAATAATAAATAAAGATTGCTGGTGTGATCAAACCCACAACCCTCGCCTAAATTATTCTCTAACCCTCGCCTAAATTGTTTCTCGTTTTGTTTTGTTTTGGTTTTTTTTTCCCCTTCTTTGGAGCTTAATAGACAACTTTTAATTTTGCTTGGAATGGTTGGTACGGAATGCAGGTTACTTACTTTGAATGCGGTGGAGTTTCTCTCGGAGTTGGGATGGAACATCACGCGGTTGATGGAGCTTCTGGTCTCCACTTTGTGAATTCATGGTCGGACGTGGCTCGAGGCCTTGACATTAAAGTTCCACCTTTTATTGATAGGACGCTCATCCGTTCTAGAGACCCACCACGACCCGCTTTTGATCACATTGAATATGATGCCCCTCCAATCATGAAAAACACTGCTAGTGCCAACTTTCAAAAGAACTCAAAATATCAAACTACTACCTCAGTTGCCAATTTCAAAATAACCAAGGACCAACTTATTGCCCTCAAGAACAAGTCCAAGGAAGACGGGAGCTCGGTTAGCTATAGCTCATACGAGATGTTGTCGGGTCACGTTTGGCGGTGCGCGTGCAAGGCGCGCGCGCTGCCGGACGATCAAGAGACGAAGCTGTTTGTCGCGGTGGACGGGAGGGCTAGGTTGCAACCCCCACTCCCACAAAGCTACTTTGGCAATGTGATATTCACAACCACGCCCATTGCCTTGGCGGGTGATCTCGTGTCAAAGCCAATATGGTATGCCGCTAGCCAAATTCACAAAACATTGGTCAAGACAAACAATGAGTATCTAAAATCAGCCATTGACTATCTAGAGATCCAGCCTGATTTGTCGGCCCTTGTTCGCGGGGCCCACACTTTTAGGTGCCCAAATCTCGGGATCACTAGTTGGGTTAGGCTGCCCATTTATGATGCTGATTTTGGGTGGGGCCGGCCAATTTTCATGGGACCCGGTGGGATCATGTTTGAGGGATTGGCGTATGTGCTGCCAAGTCCAACTAATGATGGGAGCCTATCGATTGCCATTGGTTTACAGCCGGAGCACATGGAAGCTTTTGGCAAGCTTATATGCGACATATAATGATCATCAATATCTTGGTGGAATGAGACGTTGGAGGAAATTATTGCGGTTCATGCTTGTGGAGTTGGTTCACAAGGGGAGTGTTTTGTATTTGGGTTTTCCCTTAAATTATTGCGGTTTAGGTAATCATGTTGATCTGGGGTATTTTCTTCTTCTTAATTTGATCCAAGTCTCTTGTGTACCACGTTTTTTATATTCAGAGTACGTTCATGCGTGTGCTATGCATGCTTCCCAATCAATTCCAAGCAAAATAATAATAATAAAACAAACCTTTCCAACTAATACACATAAAAAAAAAATAATAAAAAAAAATTCCTGTAGCCGAGAGATTTGCATGAGAAAAGTTGACAAGATACGGATTCTAGGGTTGTATTTCTCTATAATGTGCTTCATTTTGAATCTTTTGTTACTATTTGTTTCTCTCAAAAAAAATAGCTGCAACTACCTCAAATTCCAAATATGAAGCCATTTACAATACCAAAACAAACAGGATATGTGAGCCGCTTAATTAATTTAAAAATTCAAATTAAATAAATCGTGTAATAGAGTATAATTAGAAATAAAAAAGAAATAGCCCGCTTTTTTCACAATTTTGAAACCGTATACATAGTTTTAAGAGCATAAATGAAGCTCTTTAAAACATTTTATATCAAATTTAGAAGTGAAAAATTTTAGAGGGACAGTTTCATATATTCAAGATCAATCTAAGGTATAAATGAAGTAAATATTTTAATACATCCAGAATAAAATTTAAAATTATAAAATAATTGGGCAAAGAAAAAAGAAAAAGAAAAAAAGAGAAGTTGACTTTTCGAAACTCGTTTATCTCACCGATTTAAATTTAAAATTTAAATTTTATTACAGTAAAAAATTTTAAA